GTGGTGACTTTCTGCTTAAATGATCCTGTTATGTATGATCAATGCCACTCTGAAACGCAAAATTGGAATTCGTTCATTAGGTAATGAAGAGATACCTTTTCTTTCTGCTACCAAACTTTCCTCACTTATCTTTTCTCATATTAGGACTCTGATACACGTTTGGCTGGAGCATTATTTCAAATAAGCATTTCCATTTAGATCACCCTAACTAGATCAAAGGCAAATGTATGAAATTGCATGGTACCAATATCTAGCAAATGTGATTTTTGTCCCAGCAAATTGCTACATCCTGCAGTGTTTCTTTCCTTGCAAAAATTTTATAGACTTTATGATGTCTGGAGCTGGATTCTAAAAGGAATTGCAAAGTTAGTAAAAGAGAGTTGTCTCAGTCTAAATTTAGACTTTTTTGAGTTAAATTGCAGATCATACGCAATTTTTCCAGAGTTGGGAGATACTGTTTCACTCTATTTTTCCCTTCCTTGGCCACTGCCCGCTTTCCATACCATGGACATGTTTCATCATAAATTCATTCATTCTCCTTTTAAACTCATACATTTCTTCACTTAAATACAGAGCCTGCAGTTCATTAAAGGACCTAATGCTTTGCATTCTACCAGAAATCTAATCTATACCCTTCCCATAAAACCACTCATTTTCCATGATTGTCCAGCAAATTGAATTTATCCCCTGGTCATTGTAAACAGAGCATTGTAAATAATTTGGCTTTCTGCCACTGATGAACAAAGAAATTTTGCTGTATTTTGTTGCTATGTGACAAGCAAAGCTTGATCTTCAGTGAGCACTTCTTATTTCTGCTCCTGAGGATGAGATAATAACATGTGCACACTCTCTATTGACCAGCTCTCAAGCTACTGAGAATATGATGAGAAGATTTCTTTCCATGCACTTGATTTTTGGCACGCTAAGATATGAATTTGGTGTGTTAAGCAAAGTGGAGTGAGGCTCAGAGTAAGAGATCAAAGAAGTTTAAGGAGATAACTGTCAAAATTGTTTTGAGAGTCACTTCAGTGTTAAAAACTTGTAAGCCTTCATTAACTGTTTCCTGCACCACAAAACAACCACAGGGGAGAAAAATCAACTTAGAAATACTGACAGCAACTTCGCCTGTTCTTGTAAATGGCTTTTTTTTTTTTTTTTTTACATGGTCAGCCTTTGGTTCAGTGTTTACCACAGAATTGCTGGGGAAGAATCAGGCTGTCTGTCTGTGCTATGAACAGTGCCGTGCCCTTGGGAACAGTCTGGCATTGCTTTTTGGCTGCATACACCCACGGGAAAGTAATAAAAGCAGATCCAAAAGCTGCATGGCAACTGGTACAAACAGCAGTAAATAAAGATTTGAAAAATCTTGGGAGACAGCATGACTGAAATAGCAGAAGGGAAATAATAGTAAGAACTATTTGCAGCCCTTTCCATCTGAAGATACTGTGCTGCTTTACAAATATTACACAATAAGCTGGTGAGGTATATACATATCATTTATACACATTTCAATAAAGGCACCAAATGGTTTTTTGATGTGTCTAAGAAAACCCAGACTACCAGCAGTTTATTAGAAGTTACTATCTAGCCACCTAGTTTTACAGTTCCTTGAAAACAAGAGATTTCATGTGCCAGTATCTGTAGAAGGGGCCTCTCTCCACACCTGCAAGTCACCTCTGCTAAGGGTGAAGTCTGTTGCTAGCTACAGGTAGTTGTGAGAGCTTCTAGTGTAGAATATAAAAAAGAAGGTAGGATTGGACATTTGCATCCGGTTTGAGATGTAGCTGGTAAAAAATAAAAGAATGTGAAGATTGAAGGGTATCACATGCATAAATTGATTATGCTTTGTGGCAGCTGTAAATATCAAAGTTAAAATATAGTTCAGTCAGAAAAAAAGACCTTATAAATAATGACATTCTTTTCTGCTTTATCTGACTAAGTCCAATTTGCTCCGGTTACAAATCAGAGCATGCCTTTTCCTAAGATATTTTCCAGCAAACTTAATCCAGGCTATCAAACTCACGTCTTTCTTTTTTGCATATAGTTATTGATATCATAGATACAATATAATCAAAACTTCACAAGGCAGTTTGGACATACACTTTACCTCCATGCAATCTGATTAGCTTTTGCCAGTACAGGTGTTACTTTGAAAATGCAGTAGCTTTGCTCCTTGGCGTGTCTCATGAAAGCTGACATTCAGTGTTTTCAGTAACACTTGGCTGAGAATCATCTGATCCACTGACCTTCAGAAGGTTTGCATTCTTACATCCCTTTAGAGTACATCTACAAAAAACTGCAGTTTTGGAACAGTAGATATAAGCACACATACCCAAACCACCTTTAATCTAGCTGTCTTGACTATTGTAAAATCAGAGAATCAAGGTAGCTCTGTTGGGAAAGTATCTTAGGAAGCTGCCAGTTCAATCTCCTAGTGAAGACAGGGTCAGTGGTGAGGTCAGACCAGGTTGCTCAGGGCTTTTTCTGGTTGGATTTTCAAAACTTCCAAGGTCTTGACACTACAACCTCTTTGGGAGACCTGTTCCAGTGCTTGCCTGTCCTAATGTTAATTTATTTTTTTTCCTTATAACTCACCTGAAACACTTACGTTTCAATTTATGTCCACTGACTTTTATCCTTCTGCTGTGTACCACTAGGAAAAGCCTGACTCTGTCCTCTTGATGATCACCTTGTAGGCATTGGAAGACTGCTACTGGCATTGCCAAAAGCCATCTCTTCTGCAGACCAAACAAGCCTTGTTATGTCAGGTTCTTCTTACAAAGTGAGTACTCCAGTCCCTTCTAGCTTCTCAGGGCGCTCTTGCAGAACATGTTGCAGCTAATTGATGTCTTTCCTGTCCTGGGGGTCTAAAATTGGATATAGTATTATGTGATCCAACAAATGCTGAACAAAGGGGCATAATTACCTATCTTATCTGCAGGTGATGCTCTTGTTAATGCAGCCTTCTGCTCACCTCTGCTTCCAAGGCACAGTACTGACTGATGTTCAGTTCACTGTATGCCAGGACCCCCAGGTGTTTTTCAGCAGAGCTGCTCCCCAGCCTAGCAGTCCTCAGTAAGTCCTCATTGCAAGGCATAGCTTGCTCTGAACTTTATCTCTGCCTGTTAGATTCTCTAAGTTTTCTGCTGGCCCTTGAATGGCAACCCTGCCCTCCATAGTATTGACTAGTCCTGTAGTTTCTTGTCAGTAAAAGGGACTGGTCCCCCAAACAGACCCCTCTGGTCTGTATATATATTATTGACCTCCAGAATACACTGTACATTAACCACTTTCTCTGAAGTCAATCATCCAGCCAGTTTTTTAAACACTTTCTTGTCTACTTAACCAGACCATGATGTCTCAACTTGGTTTTGAGAACACTGTAAGATGCTGTGTTAAAATCTTTTCCATATTTGGCATGAATAACATTCGCTGCTCTGCAAAGACAGACTTTTTGTTGTGGTAGGCAGTTGGGTTGGTCAGTTGTGACTGTTGCCAGTCTTCTTTTGCTTATGTGCCCAGAAATGTCTTCCAAAAGGACATGCTCCATAATATTTGGTTCCAGTCTCCTGGGAACGAAAATGAGGCTGATCAGGTCATAATTCAATGAATCACTGTTTTGGCCTTTTGAAGATAGGTAATGTATTTGCCTTTCTTCAGTTACTGAGAATTCCCTGGTGTCTGTGACTTTTCAAAGATGATAGAGAGCAGCAGGGATTAGTTCTCTTGGTATCCATAGATATAGTCTGTCTAGTGGACTTGAATGCGTGGATCTTCCTCAAGTAATCTCTAATTCACTCCTTATCTACTGCAGGTGGTAATTCTTCTCCTTGAATCTTATCTCTGAAAGGGAGACCTTGTTGGTGAACGCAGGCATCAAGTACCTCAGCTTTCTGCAGTAGCTCTTTCAATTATCTAGTAGCTCTGAAAAGGCAGAATAGTTATGAAACTTCATCATTTCTTCTGGTCTGATTTTCATAGCTGTGGAGGGTTAGGCTGGGATAAGAATTCCCAGTAACAAATGTTGGTCTCACCTTCAACCATGCTGCAGTTTCCTTTTCCCTTTGAACTGATTTGGTGTGCTTAAGAAGGATCATTCACTGGGAAAGCTTTGTCAGAGAGTGTTCTACAAAGGCAGCACCCTTGATGTAAGACCTTCTTTCATCCTCATTTTTTGCTGTGCATCACTGTAGTTCCCTTGCACATTACTCATCTGTATGCATCACTGTATTATTATGTGTATGATCTACATTTGAGATGATCCTAATCTCTTTAAAAATATTGATACGTGAATGTAAGTAATCACTGTCATGTACCCATAGCCTCCCCATACGTAAGCAGAGGCTGAAGCAAAGGTACATAGACGGTGATGGTGGGAAAGCAAGTTTAAAGGTTCTGAAGTCAGCCTGCCTTCCAGCCCTTCTATTGCTCTGCAGTGTTTTGGTTGCTGCTGTCTGTGTAGTGACAGCAGGGTTTGCTGTATGATGGTGTGGTAAGTAACATTGATTGACTTTTTAAAGTTTTTCTGAGTCTGAATTCATATTTCTCTAAACATGTGTAGACAGAGCTGCTTAATTCCCATCTATTTTCCTTCTCTTTCTTTTATTTATGACCGCTGGTTTATGGTAAGTTTAGAAGTGTACATTTATTTTATTTTTCTAAGTCCTTTTATATTCGTTTCCCTGTGTGTATTGTGTTTAGTTAGAAGGAATGAGAAGAACTATGTCTTGTCAAATAAGGAGGCCAGGTTCAAACCAGGTCCTGAATGAATTGGTCAGATTAAAGGCTGTCTGTTTGAGTGAGTGTGGGAAGAATCACATTTCAGTCTTCTACTAAAGAAGAATAGAGCCTTACTCTGGTGCACTGAAGGAACCCATCATCACAACTAGCACAGTTCTCTGACTTATAACTTGATTTCTATTCTAGGGATAAGGAAGATCACTGAAGTCTTTCAGACTAGCAGAGAATTCATCTCTGACAAAGAGTTCCCTGACTGACTGCTCAGGAGATGTGAAGAGGCTTGAATGGATTTGGAGAAGCCAGCCTCTTTTCCACATATACTTTTCTGTAGGTTAGAAAATGACTCATTGGACAGATATGTGAAACTTTATAAAAGTGGAGGGAAAAAAAAAACAGGAAATCCTATGGGTTTTCTGCTGAAAAACATTTCTGGTGTGTAAATGGAAAAGTCGACAGAAATTCCCTGTTATGGTAGTTGGGCTGGTTCGTGCAACAACTGTGCTACTGAAGTGGTAGCTTCCAGTGCATGCTTGGACAAGGCTTCATGGAGACTCAGAAGTCTCCAGACATATACATAATAAAGATACTTATTTTTTTACTTCTCTTTTCAACACCTTTTCTTGCTTTTCAGAAAGATGATCAGCATAGCCAAGCATTGAATTCGAAATCTATTGGGCCACACTATATTTTATGTGTCTCTTATTGTAGGCTGTACAGATACACAGTAGGTTGGACAGATGACTACAACAGTAATGTAAATATGAGTTACAACAAGCAACTAGTTTGGATATTGTCTGGGAATCTGAAACTAAGTACCCTAATCCATATGCTGAAGGAGGACTTTTTTTTTTTTCTTCTTTTCTTCCCTTTTTTCTGAGTCTTGAGGTTAACCAGTATACTTTCATTTAGTGTGTAACATTCTGCATTTCCATCCCATACTTAACACTCCTGGAGCTGCATGCCTGAGAACTGTATCCATTGAGATTGAACAGAGAACAGATTGCTACCTTAGTAAAGTCAGAAAAACTTAAAAGTGTGAGCTGTAAGAGCTCAAAGGGCTTGACCTAATTGCAGCTTTCATTATCTGAAGGGATCCTACAAACAGGAGGGGAGTCAACTCTTTGAAAGGGTTGATAACAGCAGGACAAGGGAAAAGGTTTTAAGTTGAGGGAGGGAAGATTTAGGTTGGATGTCAGGGGGAAGTTCTTTACAGAGAGAGTGGTGAGGTGCTGGAACAGGTTGCCCAGAGAGGTTGTGGATGCCCCATCCTTGGAAGTATTTGAGGCCAGATTGGATGGGGCCCTGGGCAGCCTGGTCTAGTATTAAATGTGGAGGTTGGTGGCCCTGCAGTGGCAGGGGTGTTGGAGATTCATGATCCTTGAGGTCCCTTCCAACCCGGGCCATTCTGTGATTCTGTGAAGTCTAGAAGTCAAGTAAGAATAAATCACTCCAATATATTAAAAAATCTGATAGATGTATTGAATCAATCACTTTACTTTGTGGGAAAGGTAGCTGACTTGTGGAGTTACACATTTGAAGTCTGTTTTTCAGTTCTGAACTGACTTTGATGAAACAGAACTGGCTTTATTTAAACTCATACACCTAGTGAAGAACGGATTGATAATGAAGAATTTCCATGTCCTCTCAATGGAAGGACATGCACTTAACTGAGCAGCTATTACTAGAAAAGGTAGTCCCATATGTCATTAGTTGATTAATTGCACTACAGATATGCTTCAGAGGTATCGTTTGTTTTACTTGCCTTAGTGTTAATATGAACACAACATTCTTTTTTTTTTTTTTTGGTGATAGTATGTAGAGCATATGCTAATCTTGTTTAAAATATAAATTTGTATATTCTGCCAAGATAGACTAAAATTGGAACTTCACAAAGGTAAGCACTGTTCAAGGCTTGCAGGATTTGACTTATGGATGTGAACAACAACTTAATTATTACTGAAAATAAGGCATAATTATCATCACCTGACATTCAGTTCAGCTTAATAAAAGCTCATCTTGTACATGTGCCTAATGTGTGTGCATTAAGATGTGGAGAGTTCCAGCTAACTCTGTATTTCTTCAATCTCTCTGTTGTCTGCCAGCAGTTTGCATTAATGGAAGAACAGCAGTGGGTTAACAACAGAAGAATTTAACAAATGGAAATGGTTGATTGTTTTGTATTTGTTCCGCAATTTTTGCAATTCAAAACTCTTTTCTTCTCCCTCCCCCCCCCACTTTCTACAGGGCAATTTGCAAAAAGGAAGAAGACTTCACTTTGGTTCACAGTCTCTCTACTGGTGGTGTCCATTTTCATACTGACCATAGGTCTGGCAGCTACAACAAGAACAGAAAATGTTACTGTGGGAGGCTACTACCCAGGCATCATTGTGAGTAAAGAAACCTACTAGATAACTATATCAGCTGGATACAGGAAACTAACTCATAAAAAGAAAACAAAGGAAAATCATTTGTGTTGCATTTCACAGAAAGAAGATGCTTATTTGTTTTGATCTAATTCTAGTGTGTGATTATGCAGGGGAGTAAACACTGAATTGCCCTAAAGGGGAGGCTTTCAGGGGACACAGAGGGACCAAGTTTGCACCACACAGCAATTTGCTGAACTCCTTGGCCTGTGCTGAAGGCAGTGCCTGACTTCCCAATAATTTGTTACAAATGTGGGCATACAAGGGACTACATGACAGGCATTTTTACTACCCTGATGGTGCAAAGAGTCACTCTGTTCTTCTGCCCGCACACCAAGAATTCTGCTAGGTCTAGTGGAGGGAAAATGCTATTGATGGCATATGGAATCTTCTCCCTAGAGTCTACCAGTGTTCTACATCTTCTTGTACAGTCCTGGTGTGTCCTTATGAACAAGTTCTCCTTCCAGATCCTTTGTTTTGTTTTTACTTTTGGAGCAGGGTGCTTAAACATATACCTGCACTGGAGATGAGGCTTATGCTGCATCTGTTTAACTTTGTAGTGCTCCTGTGTCTTTTGGGGAGGCCTTGCTGGTTCAACCCCTATGGCTTTTTCTAATCTCAGAAGTGATTGGTCATATCTAAAAGAGTGGAAAACTTTGGGAGATGAATAGTTTTTTTAGGTGAATGAACTGAATTTTAGAAAAAAAGAAAAACAAGGGCAGCAAAGTCTCTATGCCTGATTTGCTCTCCCCTAGACAGCAAGAGGAGGTAAAGGATGCAAAGAAAAAAAAGAAAAGAGGTAGGTACCAAAGAGGTACCGAATGAGGGGTCAGGGGTCTGGAGCACAGGCCTTGTGAGAAGCAGCTGAAGGAGCTGGGATTGTTCAATTTGGAGAGGAGGAGGCTCAGGAGTGACCTTACTGCTCTCTGTAACTACTGAACAGGGGCTGCAGTGAGCTTGGGGTCAGACTCCTCTCGTGTAACCAGTGATAAGATGAGGAGGAATGGACTCAAGTTGCACCATGGGAGATTCATGTTGGATGTTAGGAAATACTACTTTCCTGAAAGAGTTGTTAGGTGCTGGAATAGGCTGCCCAGGGAGGTGGTGGAGTCACCGACCCTGAAGGCGTTCAAGGAATGTTTAGACATTGTTTTCAGGGATGTGCTCTAGTGAGAACTATTGGTGATAGGTGGATGGTTGGACCAGATGACCTTGTAGGTCTTTTCTAACCTTGGTAATTCTATGATTCTATGGATGTGTTGCAAGGTTCTTGTTCTCTGTGAAATGAAATTCCCAGAGAAGAGGGCATTTCATCTTTTAATACTGTGCATACATTTTGCATTGCCATTAATAACTTATGAGTTAGAACTGTTCCTCCTAAGCAAGTCCTCTTACATCTTAGTGTAATGTTGAGAATAGGTCTTTCAGAAAGATAATTTTGGGATAATGATCTGTAAGGAGTGGTGTTTTAAAAATAGAACAAAAAGTAGTTCCAATAATAAGACCTTAGAAGAATGACTCTTCCTTTCATTAAACTGAAATAGATATATTAATACTGATAAAAATCTTCTGTAAATTGAATTAAAGTATTTTAGAAGGCCACATTTTCTGCATTTGTTCCCTTGAAAGGAATTTCTTTGGAAAGCTATGTTGAGTCAGTGTAAGAAGCCATAAACTCATGTGCTCAGAAAATTTTTTTTCAGCATTTAGTTTCTTTTAGAAAGAAAACAATGTCTGCTCACCCATAAAAATAAAATAATATACTAATTTTTAAATGTTAGCCATTAATATTCAAAATAGCTAGGATATATCGGAATGTTTTGAAAACAAAGTCTTTGTTATTACATTTTCCCTTCAGAAAATTGTTGGTTTTCCTAAAATCTGGAATTCTTTTTGTGCACATGCTGTCTTACTGAACAAACTGAGAAAGAGTGGTGGTTAATTGGTATAAATATTTTGCAACCCTTGTACAATATCTGGCCAAGTCAGAGGAGCTCTGCTGTCCCTCCCCTGTTTTTTGAGATTGCTGACTCCTGTGCAGCACTGACAGATGGCTAAGACCTTTCAGAAGACCTTTCAGAGCTCAATAACCCTCAAAAGGTGCTCCTCTTCTCCACGGGCAGTAAAAGGAGCTTAGAAAACTGGCATAGCACTGATCCCAAACTTCTAAATAGCTAGAGCTTGGTAAGTGAATTCCACGTTACCTATTTAATTGTTGGGCTCAAAGTTTAGGAGATCAGACAGTGTCAATTTCAATTAAAAATAACATCTAGTTCTCATAGAATTTAACAGTAAGAAACTAACTTTCAGGCTGGAAGTTGGAGCTTCTTCAGCCTTGCTTCCTTATAAATACTGTTTATACTTAAATACTTCTTACCACTTATGTGTGACTATTGTTTGTATTTTTTTAATAATCTTTTTTATAATCTTTCAACCAGGAGATTGCAGAGTCCAAATATTTCTGTCATCATATTACTCTAATTTCCAGAGTTCCCAATCCAAGCAGCTTATTATCTTAACAGACAAGAAAAGCAGCAAATATAACACTAAACCAATCTCAGTAATTCTGTGGTCTTATGGTATGATCTCTATCTGTGGTTCTACGCCTTCTGATTAAACTGCTATTGTTCATTATTTACTGTTTTTTTGGTGGTTTTTTTTTCTGCATGTGGATAATATTGCTCCACTGTGTCCACTCTATAAGCCTTAAATGGGACTGCATGGGTTTCTCTTCTTCTGATGAAAAATTGGTGTTGGAACCAGCTGTCATTTTGATGTAGTTGTGTTAATTTACGAAGTTGCTGTCCTCTGAACGCAGTGTCCTTGCTCACAGTTCCAAGTCTCTCTCTTATTCAGCAGTCAGCTCAGACACGCTTCCACACTCTTTTAGTCTCTGCTTTTCATACTTGTGCCTCCCTTTCACATAAATCTTCCCAAAACACTCAATAGCAAATCCCTTTTCCTACATTTGCCTTTTGAGGAAGAATCATGGGTTCCTGGTGTGATATTAAAGTGCTTACAGGAGATTTGCTTTCTGATGTGAGCAGTTGCGCATAAGAGCAAGGAGTTCATGGGCCTCACTCAAGCCCTTGGCTGGGATGCTTAGTCCTTAAAAACTTAATTGGGCTTGGAAAAGAGACTTTGAAGCTAGCACCAGGAAGAGGTTTAGACTCCTTAACAGAAGAGTCATGCTCCATCCATGGAGTGATTGTTTGTGAGCTAAGGGTGTGGTTGAGAGCTTCTCCAAGCAGAGCAGAGCCATCTGTAGCAAAGAGTGGAGCCAGGAATGTGGAAGTGATGAGGTTGAGACTAAGGTGGTGGCAAAGAATCATAGTCAGGCAAAGCAGGAAGAGAGAAGCAGGAGAAAGCCCAATGGCACTAGCACTGCTTTGGCTGTTTCTAAACCTCTGGCCAGCTAGGTCTTGCCTGTGGGCACACTTTTATTCAAATGAACATGAGCCAGATGGGAATCCTGATGCCAGAAAGCTGGAATGAAAGGTTGGTTTCCCCGTAGTCACTTTACCTCGTGTTGGACAAGAATGCAAGCAGTTTCCATCTCTCCAAACTTTCACAGGCCCCCAATAGGGAGCGGCATTTTCCTGCCGCCCTGTTTCTGAAGCAGCACTGACAAGAACAAATGCTGCTTTACTCTACCTTCCTTTCCTCCTCTCTCCTGTTATGGTTGTGACTGGTCCTTGTCTTTTTGGCATTTTAGCAGGGACTTTTTCTGTGTGATAGTGTTTAGTCATTAAAACCAAACAAACCCAAAGTAGGGTTATGAATTTGGGTCACTTGCGTGGCAGTAAAGCACCTGTTTTTTGAGGAAAACTCTTTCCTGTTAACTTAAGCTCTACATTTTTCCAAGACAATGATGTGTGGGCTAAATGTCAGTGTTCTTTCCTCCCGCATCACTTAATTTTTGCTTTACAATTTGTAAAACAATATGTGATAATGGTGACAATAGGCAGGTTATAAAAGCATATATTTTCACAGACTTTCCTTTATTAGATTACAATTTTAATCTGAAATATTGAAGATTTGGATTTCTGGTCATTCTGTGTTGCATTATATGATTATCCAGTGATAATATTTACCTTTTCCCCTCACCCATCCCACATAGTGGTATGATTAACCTGCTCAGATTTCACTGTTGTGGTTTAGTATGTTGACCAAATAATCTGACCTCGTATGTTTCTGTTGGTTTTGTTCTTTACCTTAGCTTGGCTTTGGATCTTTCCTAGGGATTGTTGGCATCCACCTGGTAGAGAACAGAAGACAAATGGTAAGCAATATCACTTTTTGTTCTAATTTTTTGTATCACGATGTCTTAAAAACACAAAAAGCAGAGATTTTCAGTTGACTTTAAACTGCTCCAATATGCTCCAAAATATTAGTAATTTTTTTCACATTTTCTAAGAAGCAGCTGAGAAGTATGAAGTGACCATGTTTCTATCTGTATCGAGCAAGGGATGATTTATGGGATCACCATTTCTGACAATAAAAACCTGTGTTTTTTTTGTTTTTTTTTTTAAACTAAATTAATTTCAGCTGATTTAGTGAGTTGACCCAGAGAAGGGTCAGATGTGTGTGAGTTTGGCCAGGACTGTGCAGCAGAGAAAAGGATGGGGAGGGAGGCAAAATGGATGTGATGTGCCAGTTTGGGCACCAATGTGCCAGTGATCTGCTCTATCATAAGAGGCAATTTCATACTACAGCAGTTTCAATCAACAATGCTTTCCTAAAAATCTACATGTTGAAAGGAAGAATCTTGCTGTCAAGATTCCCTGACTAAATCAGACAGGATATGATGTTGCTTTGTGGTTTGTTTTATATTTAGCTTGTCTTGCGAACCCCTTGCTTTTATTTATGTGAGGAGGTCGGGAAAAGTTGTTGGGGCCATCTTGGTAAAGAAAGGTGTGTTGGACTGGGTTTGTAGAAAGTCTTAGAGTTTCCTTGCTCTCAGCAAAAAATAGCACTGTCTTGGTTGAATAAAATCATGTCCAACGTGTACTTTACAGTAGACTGATTACAGCTAAGCACTATGAACTACAATTCATTTAATAATGCAGAGCCTTCACAGGTATAAATCAAAAGAGTGATGTTAAGCTTAGAGGAAGAAATGATTGATGTACCTTACATTTTTTAACTGGTCTGTTGTGATCTCCTGTTTTCTTCTTAGTAATTCCCATCTTGATTTCATTATTTATAGGTAAACTTATTTCATAATATCAGGGTTGTTTTTTTTTTTTGCATTTTTTTGAAAAGTTTAAGTGGTATACTTTCAAATACTGCTCTACTTTGCTTTTGTTTCTGCCTGGGCTTCCCAAAGAAATGAGACTGATAAAGTCATGAGGTTTGTCTGTATCTTTCTCTATTCCCCATTCAGTTTTTTGAACGTGTTAACCAATTTCAGGCAAATTCAGCAGGGAGGTGGAGACCCCAGAGATGTGCAGTTCAGGTTTCATGAAAATATGCGGGTGGGCAGAGAAAAGAAGTATAAATTAGTTACCCTCTGATGCTATGGTGTTGGCTCTCCACCCTGGAAAACTAAGGATTCCAAGTGGGATGTGACCTGTGAGACATGAATCTGCAACACTGATAATTAATTTTGCTGGTAACAAAACAGCTTATTTGTTTTTTTAAGAACTATTTTCTCTATTTGTAAATTGGAGACAAGGATGAACTCCAAGGTTCCAAGTTGCAAGCTAAAGAGAGAGGGTACATAACAATAGCACTGTCTTCCACAGCATTCATGCTACTTTACTAACAACCATAATATTTTAGGCTTATTTTATCTTTCATTTTTCCCCTGTCCTGCCCCTTAGTTCTCCAGTGCTTCTGTGTTTACCAGAAAATAAAATGGCGTACAAAAAGAAATAAGGTGGATGAGATCCTGCCCAAGCTTGTTAAGACTCAATGCGTTGTATCGTTTGCACAAGGAGTGGGGATAAAACCAGTATTTTTGGTCCTGGAGCCTGTTTACATTTCCCAGCGTGGAACAAGGAAAACAGCTTTCTATTAATAACAGTTTTGATCTGGCTGTTGAAACACTGCTTTGTTAATGAACAGACCAAGAAAATAACTAGAAAGTTTAATTATGCTTGTTGTTCTGAGTATCATCCACAGTAGGCAAAGCCTTTAACACTATCCAGCTAAGGCTGAGTGGCTTGCTTTCACATGTTTCAGAAATGAGTTGGAAAGGGTTTACATCATACTACAACTGAGGGCAGCAATTATTCCCTGGAGTGTGGCTGAGTACATATAATTGAAAAGGTTTAGGGCAGCTTAAACAAATTTGCAGGCATCAATAATTTGTAAATACTTAGATAAGCATAGAAATGTAATAGAAAAAATCATATTCTGGTAACTCAAATTTCTTTTTATTGCATCACAACAAAAGAGGACATGGAGGAAAAGGAATTGTTTACTCAGTTACTTCTTTTTTAACTGGAATTCCTTTGACAGTTACTTCTGTATAAAACTTGAACTCAACCCAGTGTAGCTCTGACAGTTTTTTGGCCCCTGTAATGAATCAATACTTCATTCTTGCTGTTTTTTTTTTAGTTGAAAATTAAAGTGGGTTCAGTTACATTAGAAGAAAAAAACCACACCTGTTTCTAATTGATGTTTTCTTCATAAATCCACTTCTAGTTTTTATCTTGAATTTGCATTTATTCGTGATCTGCCCTCTGTAAGTCTAATTTTTTTCACAGTTGATGAAATGCTAAGTGCAGTACGAAATATGTAATGGTTAGCAGAGCTGGTCCAGCAAAAATCCAGCAGTCAATAAATGTAAACACGGAGTTTGAGAAAGAATGAAAGCACACTTAGGCAGAATGGACGATGGGTTGTTCTTAAAACACAACATTAATAATGCTGCACTTCTTTGACCTTGTTCTTGGCATTCCAGAGTCACAGTGGGACTTCAATGTGCTGACCAAGGTATAACCTTTAATTTAAAGGAACTGCTACTTGCAGAATCAGGCTCTGCCTCATTGACTAGCATGATTTCACTTGAGCTCTCAGCATTCGTGCTTGCCTCTGTTATGCAGAGCTTGGCACCAGTAGAATAAAATCTCCCTTTGACTGAGGATAAGATGCCTTTGCACTGATTCAGGATGTTTAGAACTAGCAAACAGCAGAAATTGAAGCATAATGTGTTGCTGTTCCCTTTTTCCTCCCCTGTCCCCTGCAAAGCAGGCTATGGTTTAAAGAACAGAGCATAGCTTTATGCGCCACATTCCAAAGGCGTATAGTCCAGATGGATGTGTAGAAGATACTACAATACTTAAATCAAATGTAGCTGATTATGTGACATGAAGTATCCTTGCTTATTTGATTGCTTGCCTGCCATCTCCTCACAATACAGTGCAATGTATTTCTGATTAGAAAACAAGATGCTAAAATTAGTTACAGAGGTAGGGAAGGATTAGTGTTGGTAGGCACAAATTAGTAAAATGTATGTAAAAAAAGATCAGTGAGGATACCTACTCTGCTCTGTTCAGACACACTGTGCTTCTTGTTTTTCTTGCCAATCGAGCATCCTGAAAGAAACTAGCTTTAGTGCAGATTGTCGTGAGATGCTAATTGCTGACAGATTCCATACCACATATTAAGCTAATTGAAGCATCAAGATTACATGAAGAGAAATACCATTAAAATTCTGTAGACTACACAAATACACGGAATAAGTCCTTGCTGTAGTGCCAGAGGAAATGCAGATCATTTTCATTACTGAAGTACTAAGTCTTACTGGAATTCATGCTGCCAAGAAGGTCTACAGCATTTCTCTTTTTTCAGTGATTATAGTGATTATTTTTTTGTGTGCTTATATTTCAGACTGTTCAGGGAAAAACACTTAATTTTAATGTAAAAATAATAACAACAGAATAAATTAGCAATCATCCTTATCTTGTTCAGCACCTTTAAAATGATGACAACTGTAAAGTCCTGTTACCATTCTTTCAGTCATAAATGTGTGCTAGATGTTATGGTTTGATTTAACTGCACATTTTGTAACCAGACATGGAGATTTGTATACAGGTAAGCACTTCAGGTTGACAGTGACTCTTGTATGAGGTCAAGCATAGCTTGTATGAGCATATTAACTCTTCGGAAGGGTAGATAACAGCAGGACAAGGGAAAATGGTTTTAAGTTGAGGGAGGGAAGATTTAGGTTGGATGTCAGGGGGAAGTTCTTTACAGAGAGAGTGGTGAGGTGCTGGAACAGGCTGCCCAGAGAGGTTGTGGATGCCCCGTCCTTGGAGGTGTTCAAGGCCAGATTGGATGGGGCCCTGGGCAGCCTGGTCTAGCATTAAATGGGGAGGTTGGTGGCCCTGCAGTGGCAGGGGTGTTGGAGATTCATGATCCTTGAGGTCCCTTCCAACCATTCTGTGATTCTGTGATAGCTCTTTTTTAAATATCTGCATTTCTTTCATAATATAACAGTACCTTATTAGCTGATAAATTCAAGCAGCTTATTCCTTGAGAACTTCTTTCATAGAGCACCAACATCTTCCTGGTCTCTTATGTTTAGCTCCTGGACTGCTGTCATGAGATGTCCTTTAAAGGCATCTCCTTCTCTCCTTACACCTTGGAAGGAACCTTCAAAGGTGATTTAGACTGGACAGTTGAGTTTTAGGAAGCTAAAGAGTCGTAAAAATAATCCCATGTTAAGTGATAGTTATATTTGTCTTCGGTAATCCTGAGATCACAGAAGGTATTGTACAGTAACTGCACAGTTTTAAAGCAGGGCAGCCTGTATGTAGACTGTCCAGTCTCCTTTTATCTATAAACATGGTGCAGTCTTCAATGTTAGCTCCCTTATTTGGCAGGAAGCTGCTTTGTAGCCCCTTTTTAGTACTTTTGGAGAAGGATTTTGCATGTCGTCCATCTATGGTAGTTCTAGGAAATCCCCAGTATTCCTTGTCGTGAAGGAAAAATCATATGTAGAAGTAGGGCAAATAACTGGAGATGTTGTGAAGACTCAGTTATTTCAGCTGAAAAGGAGGAGGGCAGGTGTATGTCTGTGGGTATGAAAGCACCTTCTAAAGTAAAGGCGAGTGAAATTTAAAAAAGGAAACTATATAGGCAATAAAAATGTGGGTAGTAGGAAAGTTACTTATATTCTATTTTAGTTAGTATGTTATGAGATATTTTTATTATAACTAAGTATTTCAAGAAGGAAGGACTGAGTTAAAATATGCTAGAATTTTTTATGCCATTGTTTGACCTTGTGCATTAAAAATGATTATTTCCAATATATAGTAAATACAAATATAT